ATGTTGGCCAAAGGGTACAAGATTTCAGTTAGGAGGAGTAAGTTCAAGAGCTCTATTGTAAAACACTGTGTCAACAGATAATGATAATACTGGATTTTTAAAGATTGCTAAGAGGGTCGATTTTAAGAGTTCTCACCACAAAGAAAATTATACTTAAGTGAAGTAATGCAAATATCAACTAGCTTGACGTAGCTATTTCACAACATATACATATTTCAAAGCAACCTATTGTAGACAGTATATACCATTTAAATTTGTCAATTAAAATAAGTTAGTAAAATGTTTATAATTAAAAATAAAAACTTACACTTATTGCCCTGCAGTTCTGCAGTTTCATGTAAAGTCTGGAATGAGTGTCTTTGGGTTAAAAATCTAGATGGCAGTGGGGCAGTGTCCCTTCTGAGGGTTGTAAGGGAGGACCTGTTTTCTTGCATTTTTTGGATTCTGAAAGCTCCCTCCATTCCTTGTCTCATGGCCTCTTTCTTCGTCTTAAAAGCCAGGATTTTTGGGGTCAGATCCTTCTCATGTGGCTGTCTGGTTCCTTCCTCCTGCCTTTCTCACACTTAGAAAGACCCTTGGGATTCCACTGGACTCCTCTAGAGATAACCCAGGATAATATCCATGTTGCAGGTCAACTGATTGGTACCTGTCATTAGCACCTTCCAGTTCATTTCCTCCCTTGCCTTGTCGTCTCACACGTTCACAGGTTCCAGGGATGAGTTCCTGGACATCTTTGGAGGGTACTTATTTTGCCTACCAAATACACCCTTTCTTTAAATGCACCTCATCTTAAAAATAGCATTGTTTTAGGCAGGCACAGTAGCTCATGCCTGCAATCCAGCGCTTTGGGAGGCAGAGGTGGGAGAATCACTTGAGGCCAGGAGTTTGAGACCACTCTGGCCAGCATAGCAAGATCCCATCTCTACAAAATAATTTTTAAAATGGCACCATTATAAAGAGGGAGGTAGGATGGATTCCATCCTGGTCTCAGCCATTGTTCAAAGGTGTTGACTTGCATAAACTGAAAAGCCACAGTGACAATAAAAAGCTCATCCCTTGCTACCCGCAAGGAGAAACGCCGGCTCCCATAAGCAAATGGCGTGACTGTAAGTCTTTGTGTGTGTATCCGTGGGCTGGGAAACGGGTTCGTTGAGTTAATGGAGGCTTTGAATTCTGTACTCTCTTCCACCTGGCTGCAAATTATATACAATGGTTCAAGGGATCCTCTCACTTCAGGCCTCCTGAGTACCTGGGAATACGGGCGTGTGCCACCATGCTGGCTAATATTTTTGTGTGTTTTGTAAAGACATGGTCTCGCTGCATTGCCCAGGCTGTTCTTGAACTCCTGGTCTCAAGTGATCCTTCTGCCTCAGCCTCCCAAAATACTGGTATTACAGGCATGAGCCACTGCATCCAGCTGACCTATGCGCTTTGTTTTTTATTTGATGATTTCATTTAATTTTAATTTTAATTTTTATTATGAGACAGAGTCTTGCTCTGTCACCCAGGCTGGAGGGCAGTGGCACAATCATAGCTCACTGCAACCTCTGCCCCCGGCCTCAAGTGATCCTCCCATCTCTGCCTCATGAGTAGCTAGGACCACAGGCACACGTCACCATGACCAGCTAATGTCTGTATCTTTAGTAGAGAAGGGGTTTTGCCATGTTGAAATAGACTCTCTTTATTTAAAACATATGTCTATCTATTCCTGAGTACAGTTTAAAAACATCATTTTTTGTTATTTGAATTTGTAAGAGTCTTATGTGTAAATAGAAAAGAAAATCTTATGATAAAATTAATCATAATTAAAATTAAAATTATTGCATAATTAATATATTAATATATTTGCTTAACAAAATGTTAATATTCTCTTAAAATATCATTACTGACACATAATCCACAAAATCCTACCTTGGATTTTATTACATAGTTTAGAAGTTTTATTGCTTATTCTAATTTTTGTAGTACCATAAATGAATTTTAACATCTCTAAGCACAGGAGAAGATCATATACGTCATTGCCCTTACCTTACAACTAATAAATGATTGATCATTTCAGAAACCAGGCATTTGAAGCTGTGTGAACATGAACCGTTCATCATTACAGATACCCCTGATCACATAGATACATAGTATCCAGCAATTGCAACTTACAAAGTGTATCAGTCCAAGATCTGATAGGTTCTGCAAATTTAGATGACTCATTTTCCAATATTTTCAAGTTGCAGCCCCATGTTTTCATACATGTCATTTCTGATTACCCATTAAGCATGTTCTGGTAAATTGTTTCTCTCGACTGCTCATGCAGTGTTTTGAACTGGTGCCATAGTAGATTTATTTTCTTCCCTTCAGTATAGACAGATACATGTGCTTATTTCTAAACCTCATCAGCTACCACTAAGGACCAGGAAGCAAAATCTAAGTGACTGAAAGCGGTTTCAAGTTATTCTTTGATTGGCTTTTGCAGTGAGTTTGATGCAATCTCCTCGCTTTTCTAGCCAAGGTGATTTGGCCAAGTTATCTGTCTTCAGCCATTCCCGTTTGGGCTGTAATGCTGTTTTGCCAAACACGGAAACACTAATGTAGATAGCTCACACTTACAGTTTCCAGAAATTTTTTTCACACAGGGAAGTTTTCTTAATGTATAAATCTTTTTTTTTTTCTAAATCCACAAACAAGATTGAATAATATATCACATATACATTTTAATACATATTGTAAATATTTGCATATGAATATATACAATATATGATTATTGTAAACCATTTTATTTTCCTTGCATTTCTTAAAATCAAAGTCAGTGAAAAACATTTTAAGTACAATCATATAATTTA